AATTCAAAAGCATTTAATATGTGTCCAATCTCATGCAAGTGCTGTCTTTTCTTTTGGTTTACTACAGCATTATCTTCAGGGGAGGTCAACAGTATAACTTCCTTATTAAATGTCAGATGGTATTGTGTCCTTGGCCTGTAAAAACAAACACAGCTTAACAAAAAGCAAACTTTAATTAACAGCATTTATCATAAATTACTTGACATCCTTAGTTCTGAAAAAGTTTTTTTAAACAGATTGCTCGTCACACTAACTGTTTTAAAAATATAGCTCTTACGCTATCTACAAAGCACCAGCTAATGCTTGCTTTTCATTTGCATTCGTCTGGCCTTAAGAGGGCATCATTGAAGTCACAAGCGTTTCACCAGTTCCAGTTGAAGTGCTGAACAAGGAAATAGCTTGCACCATCAAACAGAAATACCCAGATGTAACGGAAGTCAGTCTAGCCAAGTCTGTAAATGCATATGGAATAAGTTACAAAACAGGAATGATTCTTGCTCATGGATCACTTGCTGGCTTCCCTGAATTTGTGGAAATAATTAAAATTAGCATTTTTCAAGACAAGTTGAGTTTCATTTGTAAGAAGTTATGCTGCTGGTACAGAGAGCATTTCAGAGCATTTGAAGTAAATGCATCGCATCTGATAGAGTTGGTCTTTGTCGAGCATGGTGAACTGTTAGATGACTATCCACTTGTGTGCTACTTGGTTGGGCCCGTTCAGCTACAAAAGATACATTCACATAGCAGCACAAAACATAAAAAAGCATAAAAGAAAGTTTATATTCCTTTGAGTATAAATATTCTTCACAGTACTTTTCAGTACAAATTACAACAAATCTTCACACTTAAAATGCTTTGATTGTTTTTTCATAGGCTAACAGAGGCTTTATTAGACGTGACTTTCAAAGGCTGAACAGAACAAGATAACTTTGAGAGTACGTGGTGCAATACCCCCCCAAAAAAAATTCAAAATAATATTAAAATGAAAAATTGACCATCTAAATGCACCTATTGTCTTGTCATTATCCTTTGTGTGATTAATTTGTCATGTGTCCTCTCTTTAAGCTGATAATCAGGGCAATGGCTGGACCTGTGAAACTTAGAGTAATTCTAGCTGACAATGATGCCAGGAAGTTGATCCTGCCTGAAGGGGTGCCAAGTTCAACTGAGGGCCTCACACAAATAATCACTGAAACATTTTTGCTTAATGGGGATATCCGCTTGCAGTATAAAGATGATGATTTTGGTGGTGAGTTTATTAATTTGACATCAGTAACTGATGTTCAAGACAAAGGAACCTTAAAGGTCATCTTTAAGACTACAGGACAAAACCAAGAAAAAGTCAAGGAAAGTTTGGGTTCTTGTGAGACTCCAGAATCAACTTCTCACTCAACACTGCACAAGTCAGATGATTCTGCATCGGTCTCCTCATTGGAAACCGATGACACTGTCCTTTTATCTTCCCTTGATCCATCTCCTGGGTCAGTGCAATCCATATCAAGATCTACCACGTGGCCACTTGTATTCCCGATTCCACGCTTCTCCTATGACTCCGAAATAATTCTAGGACAAGCCAATGCTGAATACCATGCCAATGGAACTCGTCTTAGTCCATCTACAAAGCTGAAATCACACATTCTAGAAAGCCTAGCTGAGGAAATCATCAAATTCAAAGCATATCCAACCGATGTAGACCTTAATGCAGTGGCAGAAGCATTGATCAATAAACACCCTTGCTTACGAGAGCAAGGCTCGTACAATGGTTGCTATGGGTGGAAAATAAGCCTCAAGTACAAGATGGCAAACATTCGTACCAAGCTCAGAAGTGTTGGGTGTTCTGATGTAAGCATAAATTCATTAAAGAACAAACAGCAAGATCAGTGCCACGCTGCTTCACATATTAAGAAGTCTAGAAGAGCGGAAGTGAATTACTGCCCTCAGCATCCGAAGGGAGAAACTTCTGACAGTCTGGAGAAGGAACGAGTTCAGCTTTTGACAGAGATCAGAAAAAGAAACAATGACAAAATAGTCAAAGAGAAGATGGAAAGAACCTTTTCATACAGAAGACAGGAAGTGGTTCAGAAGAAGCCAATGGTAGCAGAGTTTAAAACTCGATGGCCAGCTCTCTTTAATGTTGATGAAGTAAGTGTTTTTATTTTTTCCTTTAAATATAGACCGTCGGCAGCCGCCTCCGGTTCCATTCTTCCCGGAAGTGCATGAGGAGGTTACTAAGTCTTGGAAGGCACCTTTTTCTGCCCGAAACAGACTTGGTGCCTCCTCCGTCCTCACCACCCTCGACGGTGGGGCGGCCCAAGGGTATGTGGACACCCCCCCAGTCGAGCGCGCTATTGCCATGCAGCTCTGCCCGCAAAGTGCCGCCGCCTGGAGGGGTAATCCACGCCTTCCGTCCAGGGCCTGTAAGTTTTCGTCCGCTCTGATGGCTAAGGCTTACAGTGCTGCTGGACAGGCCGATTCCGCCCTGCACGCCATGGCCCTCCTGCAAGTCCACCAGGCCAAGGTGTTGAAGCAGTTGCACGAGGGTGGTGCTGACCCAGGTGTGTTGCAGGAACTGCGTACTGCAACGGACCTCGCTCTTAGGGCGACGAAAGTCACAGCACGGGCCCGGGGTCAGACGATGTCCACACTGGTGGTCCAGGGATCTCCCAGGCCGGCCTATTCGGCGAAGCGGTGGAGGGCTTTGCCCAACAGTTCTCCGCCGCACAGAAGCAGACGGAGGCGTTTCGACACATCCTGCCCCGGCACATCCTGCCCCGGCGGTCTGCTACTGTCTTCACCCCACCGCCGGGTGCAGCCCCTCTGTCTGCTCGTCGCCGAGGGCGCCCTCCTGCGGCCTCCACCTCCGCTCCAGCTCGGCCACAGCAGCAGCCTTCACAACGGCCGCAGCGTGGAGCTGACCGCAGGAAACCGGCGCAGCCCGCCTCCGCCCCTGCCAAGCCCGTGAAGCGCCAGGGCAGGCGGCGTCCCTGAGACGGGCGACCCGGAGCTCTTGGATCCTGCTCTTCAGGAGATGGTGACGCGCACCACTCCTTCCCCCGGAGGAGGGCCGGGTGGAGAATCTATTGTTCCCGTTTGTTTCTGTTGCGCCACTGGCTACCCAGCCGGTGGTACCCAAAACTTCAATAAAAGAGCAGTTTCCTTTGCCTCCGGGTCCCAAGAGGGCGAGGATGGCGGTGCACGAGACCCTGTCTCCACACGGCCGTCCCCCTCTCCTTTCGCCGATGGGCAGCAGGGTCCGGTTCGGGGACGCTGTGCCTCCTCACGAGCCCCCTGCCCAGCT